TTTCCCGGTAATTATTTTAAGAACCGAAAACGATTATCCCCGGCTCTCTAGCTCTTTTATCATTACGTGAATTTGTTTGGATTTGAGATTTCGTTTTTCCGTGTTTGAGAATCATTAGTTGATAATTGAAACTCAAACTATCATATTAGAGCGTTTTGAATTATTTTTCTCTTTTTGTGATCGAATATTCACATACTTTAATTCGGTTAACCTTCCTTGCGATACGACCCGAGAATTGAATCTTTCGATATAACTCCGATAAAAATAACAATAACAAGCATCATATTAATCAACTACTTTTCATATTGTTATGTTACGTCCGAGTAGTGCTGTTAAATTAAACGAGTCTGGCTCGACTCGAGTTTGAGGCCTTAACGAGCCGAGCTTGAGCCCATTTAAAGCTCGATTGGTTAACGAGCTGAGCTCAGCTCGACTCGATAAGGATCGAAAATAGATTTTTATACATTTTTTTATAGTTCGGCTCGTTAAAGCTCGAGCTCGAGGTTTTAACGAGCCAAGCTCGAGCTCGGCTCGGCTCGTTTACAGCTCTACGTTCGAGTAATGTGGCTTTGAATATTTCTTTAAGACATATATCCAGTTACTAGCGCGAAGTTTTAAACATAAAGGATGTTTGTGTACACAAAGACAACATTACTCACACAATAGCAGTTCTAGCACTATGATGTTTTCTTGTTATCCATTTCATAATAGGACCACATCTCGAAAAGGGACCGATTATTTTTCACTTACATAGGTCGCTTTACAATGAAGATATTTTGTCTTACTACACCATTATATATAAGAATCATTAAAATTCCAAGACATAACCTCACTATTTACGCATATTTTACATTTCATGGTTCATGAATTGAGTGGATATTTATAAGTGTTCCAATGAACCGTAAGAAATTAGTCTTCTCATTGAACCAAGATCTTGGGAACACTAATTTTTCGGGTTTGGTTAGTGAAACAGTTGTTTATTTATGAGAAAATTGCATAGTCTACTACATCATTTCATCTTTAATGTACATTTACTATCCTTATATATTTATTAGCAAAAGTAACTAAAATTATTATATTATTTGCATATATACCAGATGTTATGTTTGAATAGGTAACTCTCGTAATTATATGATTTGAATTTGTAACTCTTCTTCTTCTTCTTCTTCTCTCTCTCTCTC